TGAATTGCAGCAATAGGATCAATGCCTCCTTTATAATTTGGTGGTGCATGTTTTCGGAAGGCATTAAGCATTCTTTCTCTTTGCTCTCTATTAGTGGTTGGCTGTGCCACACCACCCCTGTGACTAGATTCTTCATTCATATCATTATTTCCTTCACCCTCCACAACAATGGGATTATGAGGAGGAGGAATATGCTGTTGTGGTTGTGGCTCAAGCTGTGGCTGTGGCTGTTGCAAAGGCTGTGGCTGTGGACCTTGCCCACCAGCCCTCACCTCAACCAAGAGTAATCTCATCATTTCAATATTTGCCATTCTGCTTGCTGCCATCATTTCTTGATTGGCCAACCTATTAACCTCTAACAGGTCTTGATTTGCTTTCATCATCACTTCCAGCTCTCGTTGCCTAGCTGCAGCCATATTTTGTTGCATCTCAGTTAAGGCCGTTATCATTGGATCTGGCAGTGAAGTATTTCCCCGCTGATTTATTCGGGGTCTCGCCAAATCTGCTAGAATAGGATCTGTCGGGTCAATAGGAGGATCAGGAGTCCTTCTTGGACGAACCATAATTCTGCACATTTTACACAAAGGAATGAGTTAGCTACGCTCACACTCAGTGATCAGACATGCATATCATAGGACTCCAAGAGAAACTCAAGAAGATCATAACCCGAACAGTTTATGCATTATTTCACAAGCTCTCCTAGAGAAACCTGGCTCTGATACCATAAATGTAACATCCCGTCTCGAGCCGGTTCAATTAACATACACATGATATAAACAGAAACAACGGATGACTTAACTTACGAAAATATGAGCTAACTTTTTCTTTTTCTAACTTAATTCTTACTCGGCATAAACGAAAATCAAGCAGAGTTTCCTCTATAAATCGGACAACTGGGGATTTTCCAATCCCACTCAGAAGCATTTCCTGATAAACAGTTTATACAACATATCAATTCAGAAATACCAGATATCCAAATATAATCAAATACCCATACATGGGTGCATGCATAACATGGCTCCGTGCCACTATATCTAACAGCACGCCTTCAAACGTAAACCTATCTGAATACTACATCATCATATAACGTTCCTGAATACTCAAATGTACATGCATCAAACTAACAGACATGTACAAAACATATACAGGCCATATACAAAATAAAGGATCAATGTCATGATCCATCAAAGGCAGAAATACAAAACGATGTGAATATACTTCCAAAAAGTAGTAGCCTACAGCCACTCAAAATCTGATCCGTCAACTGCCTCAGCCACGTGTCGCGTCCCTGCCTAGTGAGGACTCACCGGGAATCTGGGAACCTGAAAATATGTCCCCAACGAGGGGTGAGATTACAAATCTCAATAAGCTCCAGGTTTATAGAGAATTCTCCATACCCCTGGCTCACTCCTGCATGAAAGTCAGATACAGAGTATACGAATACAGCATATAACAGATATCGTAACAGAACAGAGCATATATCCATATCATATCAGAGATGTGCGCCGTCATTCCCAAGGGAGGACCCCAAGCAGAAATCAATGCACGTGTTCTCGAGGGAGGACCCCAAAGCAGAACCAGACATATCAGAGATGTGCGTCGTCATTCCCAAGGGAGGACCCCAAGCGGAAATCAACGCAAGTGTTCCCGAGGGAGGACCCCAAAGCGGAACCAGACATATCAGAGGCATACACCATTAGTCCCGAGGGAGGACCCCAAAGCGGACATCAGGGTACTATACAATCAATGGCCAGAGATTGTTACAGAAATCATATTACAGAAGTCATATCAGAGCAAAACATATCATGTTATCAAATAACTCCATACGAATGCATCTATACAAAGCATCTAAATAACAGTCATACAGTCCAACCATAGTTCACTAACCATGGTGGAACACTCAAGCAGGAAAAGACTCCTTAAACATAGAGCTTACCTCTTGAAGCTTTATCAATCTGCTTACTTGTGACACTAGTTACTTTTATATCTTCAAGAGATTTTGATCCTTTTCAGTCCCTAGGTACACCTAGAGCAAGAATCCACAAATACAATTTAATAAAATGCCATCATGCCTAGCTTTCACATAAGGCATGCATTTTATCGCTTCTTTTCGTTTCTTTATGTTTTTGCCAATGCTATGCCAATACACAAGTCTAGACCACCTTATACTCGTTAGGATTTCCTTAATTTAATCAAGTGTTCACTTGAGAATTTTCAACATAATTCATGCCATTTTCTCTAAAAGGCCGTGAACCTACCTTTAGGAACTCAATGTATTTTTCAACCCTTATTCAAGCCATTTCACTTCTTTACTCATCAATTTTATACAATACATTACAACACATTTTATTAAAATAAAATGTAACAAAATATATTCCTAAGCCACCCTATTGGTCGAACTCCACAAGGACAATATGCAAATGGGTTCTTTTCTTTTTAATTATTCTTTCTTCCCTTAATTAGCAACTACACATACATAAATATATATGTTCATCAAGTCTCAATTAATTTTGTTATGACAAGCTCCTCTAAAGCCCCCAAGGCCGAAGCATAAGGGCAAGTATTTATAGGATTTTTCCTTTTAGGCCTTCTTCCTAATTTCATACTTAACAAAACACAATAAACCCTCTTAATACATCAACTAAAATTTTCACAATGGACCCTATTAAGGCCGAAACCTAGAGAGAAAGGTATATAATTTTTCTCTAATTTTTTTATATACATACAAATGCTCATTTTCATTTCCTAAATCCAAAACAACCAAGATTCATCATCTAATCAAAGTTTCACACCCAATTCTTTCCCACTAAAACATAATCATAACTTTTATAACATAAATCATCAAGATACTACTATGGAAATAGAGGTTCATTACCTCCAAAAGCTTATACAAGGTCAAGAAGGTAACCTCCAAGCAAGTCTCCACAAAAAATCCCCTTTTTTCACCTTGGATGAATAGTGCTCCGAAAATGAGATGACAAATATCTTCCTCCACAAACGAAATCAGCTCAAATGGAGGGTTGGAATAGCTTCCTTGAATGATTTTCTATGAGATTGGTATAATGGGTGGAAGATTTGGTTGCTTAATCATGGAGAAATCAAAGAAAAACAAAAACAAACCCTAAGCTTCCTTTTTGTTAAGGGTAAGACCCAACAGAGACGCAAGAAAATGAAAAGAAGAATTTTCAATGTGTTTATTCAGAATGAATGATCTTTTTGTTACAAGGGACCCCTTATACTAATCCTCTTCTAACTTCCCACGTGCCTTCCCTTACAATGGACACATAGATCCAACTAACTAACTAACTGCCACCTCACTAGCCAATACCTAGCCTTTTACTATTATACCCCCACTATGACACTGATATACACAAGTGTACAATTAAACATCTACTACAAAGTCCTTAACCCACATAGGGGCTCCTCTACTTCTTTTGCCCGTAACAATACCCCTGTCTACCAATTCAACCTTGTCCTCAAGGTTCAGCTGGGGATAGTGCAGCTTGAGTTCCTCTTCATCCTCCCAAGAAGAATCTTCTGGCAAGGAATGAGACCATTGAACCAACCATTGCGTACCAGATTTATGTTTATCAGATACCGTCCGAGACATTAAAACAGTTACTGGCTCTTGGACAGGAGAATTGCCATGGCTAAATTCAGGTACAATTGGAACTAAATCAGGATGTTGTCCCTTAAAAGGTTTCAAGACCGACACATGAAAAGAAGAATGTATCCTACACCCCTCTGGAAGTTGCACCTGGTAAGCGACTGGGCTCAACACTTTAATAATGGGAAAAGGGCCAAAGTACCTTTTGGCTAGCTTCTGATTTGATCGCCTTGCAATTGTCAATTGCCTATAAGGTTGGAGTTTCACCAACACCAAATCACCCACTGCCAGGGATATATCTGTTCTATGTTTATCTGCCTGGATTTTCATGGGATTTTGAGCTCCTTGCAAGTGATGTTTAAGTTGAGCAAGTAGCTCATTGCGATGGACTAAGGCTGTATCAACTGCTTCAACCTTGACTGATCCTCTAGGATAATAAGGAATCATCTGAGGCAATTTCCCATACAAAGCCTGAAAAGGACTCATACCAATTGAAGAATGGTGAGCTGTATTATAATGCAATTCAGCCCAACTCAAAAAGGAGGAGCACTTGTGATTCTCATCAGAACAGAAAGCTCTAAGATATTGCTCTAAATATCTGGTAGTCACTTCAGTTTGCCCATCAGATTGAGGGTGGTAAGCTGTACTTGTGTGCAACTTAGTCCCACTCATCTTAAACAACAATGTCCAAAAATGACTGAGGAATACACGATCCCTGTCTGAAACAATAGACTTTGGATATCCATGCAATTTCACCACCATGTCACAAAACAAGGATGCTACTTTGGCTGCTGTATAAGGATTGGCCAAAGCTCCAAAGTGTGCATACTTTGAGAGGCGATCAACCACTACAAGGATGACTGAAAACCCACGAGATAAAGGCAGACCAGTAATGAAATCCATGGTAAGATCTTCAAACACCCCAACTGGAATGTGCAAAGGTTGCAGCAAGCCAAAAGGAGGAGTGGTTGCTGTTTTCACCATTTGGCAGATGGGGCAATTCCCAATGAATGCAGTTACCTCCCTTCGCATATGATACCAAAAAAAAGATGCTGACAGTCTGAGTAATGTGCGGGTCACACCAGCATGCCCCCCAATTGGAGAAGCATGTGCTTCACTAATCAAAATTTGCTTTAAATCAGATTTGGAACTTAACAGCAAACGATCATTGTAATACAGAATTCCAGCTTTTGCTGAAATTTTGGGATCAACAAACTCCCCACTTCTCAACTTGTTATGAAAGGCAATCAGCTCTGGATCAGAAGCATTTTCCCTCTTTATTTGCTCAATGATATCAAATTTAACTTCTGAAATCAATGTCATAACAGTACCTGCTCTCTCTTCCTCATACATTCTAGATAAGGAGTCAGCTACAACATTGGAACTACCAGGCTTATTCAATGACAAAATCATATCCCATCAATTTACAAGCATACCTTTGTTGTTCCAAAGTCTGAACTGTTTGGGAAAGTAATTCCTTCAAGCTCCTATGGTCAGTCTTGATAACAAACTTGGAACCAAGCAAGTAATGCCTCCACTTTTTCACTGCTTCAGTTACAGCAAAGAGTTCCCTGACATATGTTGAAGCCAACTGCATCCGAGGTCCCAATTTCTTGCTAAAAAAAGATATGGGCCTATTGTTTTGTAATAAAACAGCTCCAATGCCAATTGAAGAGGCATCAGTCTCCACCATAAAAGGAAGAGAAAAATCAGGTAGGATAAGGACAGGGGTTGAAGTCATGGTTTCTTTGAGTAATTGAAAAGCTTTATCTGCCTCCTCAGTCCACTTGAAGGACTCACTTTTCAGCAATTCCGTTAAAGGGGCTGCCAATGTGGCATAGTGACAGATAAATCTTCGATAGTAGCCCGTAAGTCCAATGAATCCTCTTAACTGTTTCACATTCTTTGGTTTGGGCCAATCCATCATAGCACTAATCTTCTTAGGATCTGCCTTGACTCCATCTCCTGAAACAAGGTGCCCCAAATAATCAATTTCTAGCAAAGCAAATCCACATTTATTAAGTTTAACCTTAAACTGGTTCTGCTGCAAACACTCCAAAGCTATCTGCAAGTGAAGCAAGTGTTCCTCAAAAGAGACACTATAGATAAGTATGTCATCAAAAAATACTATGATAAATCGTCTCAAATAAGGTCTAAACATCTGGTTCATTGCCGATTGGAATGTAGAAGGAGCATTGGTTAAGCCAAATGGCATCACCAAAAACTCATAATGGCCATCATGAGTTCTAAAGGCTGTCTTGGAAGTGTCTTGAGGCTGCAACCTTATTTGATGATAGCCACTCCTTAAATCCAACTTGGAGAACACACTAGCCCCCTTCAATTCATCAAGGAGCTCATCAATAGTAGGAATTGGAAAATGATCCCTTACTGTTATTTTGTTTAGAGCTCTATAATCAATGCACATTCTCCATGAATTGTCATGCTTCTTTACAAGTAAAACTGGCGAGGAGTAAGGACTTTTACTGACCTTAATGAATCCAGAAACCAACAGATCTGCCACCTGTTTCTCAATTTCAGATTTTTGGTGATGGGCATACCTATACGGTCTTACATTAACTGGTGTTGACCCTTCTGTCAAATGGATAGCATGATCATATTCTCTAGAGGGAGGTAGACCCTGAGGTATTGTGAAAACCTCTTGATAGTGGATCAATATGTCCCACACAGCTGAAGGAACTGTATCTTTCACAGCTAACAGTTCTGCTATGGCATTGGTTGGATTAGCACCCACTACAGTGTTAGTTGCAGGTACCAATGTAGACAACACAAAACATTCAGCAATTGAATCCTCCCCTTTTCCTCCTTGCCCCTTCAATAGGATCCTCTGACTATTCCAATTGAATTCCATAGACAAATCACTATAATCATGAATAACTCTTCCCAAAGAACTCAACCATATGATGCCCAAAATAATTCCCAACCCAGTCAAATCAATGATCCATAAATCGACAACAAATTCATGCCCTTGAATGTTCAACACAACAGCTGGGCATTTTCTGTCACAAACTAAAAAGTCTCCATTCCCCAAAAACACTCGCATTTTAGGTATTTTAACCATAGGCAAACCCAAACTAATAGCCAAGTCTTTCTGCACAAAGTTATGCAAGCTACCAGAATCAATGAGAATAGGAACTAATCGTCCATTCAACCGAATTCGAAACTGTAATGCTCTTGGATTCTGGTCACTGGACATGGAATGAAGTGCTGCATCCATGTGATGTAATTCTGACTCCCTAGACTCCTGTTGAAGCTGCTCTGGTTGCCAAACTATGTTTTCCTCAGTTTCCTCCACCTCTTCCTCCGAATTACCCACCATAAACAACATTCTCCTTTACAAACATGCTTGGAATTCCACTTCTCATCGCACGTATAACACAACCCCAAATCCCTTCTCTTTTGCAGATAGTCATTAGTCACTCTCCTACTAGATGCTGGAGGAGGTAAGGCCAAAACACTCGGTTTATGGGGTGGCAAATTAGATGTTAGAGCTGGTAAACTGGATTTGTTGTAGGAAACCCATGGAGTATTGGAATTAAGTGGTTCAACAGAAAGTGGTTTAGAAAAAAATTTCTTGTTAACAGAAGACAGAGACACACGAAGTTCTATGTAGTGGGCTTCATATGTCAAGGCTAATTGCATTGCTTGATGCAATGAAGTGGGTGTATGTAATTGGATGGCTCTCCGCAAATCATCATGTAATCCAGACACAAAGAAGCTCATCAAAACTTCATCAGAGAATTCAGTTACCTGATTAATCAATGCTTCAAAACGTCTGATGTAATCATCAAGAGCTCCCTCTTGAGTTAATTTCGATAACACACCTCTGAGATCAGTGTATCTGGTCCCACCAAAACGTTGCTTAACTGCAACCTTGAAATGCTCCCATGTTTGGATTGTGTTCCCACTAAACAACCATTGAAACCATGGTGCCGCCATTCCTTCCATCTTCATACCTGCCAATCGAACTTTAAGAGGCTCTGGAATCTAGTGCAACCCAAAGTACAGCTCCGTTCTGAAAATCCAACTCACTGGATCCCTTCCATCAAATGAAGGCAATTCCATTTTAACAGATCGCATGACATTACGCGAATCATTAGGGTCGAATCGAAATTGATTCTGCCCTGGAGATTCAATGTTTCTGCCAACTGGATTGAGTCTTGTACCCCCTATATCACCGAGACGATTCTCGATTCCTACCATCGCAGCATGGATTTGTTGAAGCTGATTGGTGACAGTGACAAACTGTGTCTGATGATCCACATATTGCTGTTGCATGTCGACCAAACTGCGATCAACACGCGCCTGAAAGGAACCCAATTCCTCCGCTAGCTCCTGAAGTCTCATCTTCAACCAACGTGAGATCACAATATGAAAGCACCAATGTTAAGGGTAAGACCCAACAGAGACGCAAGAAAATGAAAAGAAGAATTTTAAATGTGTTTATTCAGAATGAATGATCTTTTTGTTACAAGGGACCCCTTATACTAATCCTCTTCTAACTTCCCACGTGCCTTCCCTTACAATGGACACATAGATCCAACTAACTAACTAACTGCCACCTCACTAGCCAATACCTAGCCTTTTACTATTATACCCCCACTATGACACTGATATACACAAGTGTACAATTAAACATCTACTACAAAGTCCTTAACCCACATAGGGGCTCCTCTACTTCTTTTGCCCGTAACACTTTTACCATGGCTGCCACGGGTGGGGAAGGGAAAAGGGAGAGAGAAAGTGTGAGGGAATAGTGAATTTAAGTGACTTAGGGGTTTTTAAGCACATGTGGCTTTTTAACCGGTTGTTTTTCTATCGCGTATTTTAACTTAAATTGACCCGGAACTAACTTAAAGTTACAGACATATTTTTTTTCTAAAATCATTTACATTAATTTTTATTTCTTACAAAACAATATTCATAATTCACAGTATGGTTTTTGCACCGTTTTTGACGAAATGCACTGTGAATCACTAATTGTACTTCATTTACTTATGCAACTTAAAACTTATAAACTTATCATTTTCTTGGGCCTATATTGACTTGCTTGGCATATATTGGACTTTCTTATTCTTATTTCATCAATTATTTATTTCTGGACTCTACCGGTTGCTTAAACAGCAGTAAAAATACCCGGTAGAATACTATTCACGAGATTTTCACGGAAAGTGCCAGACTATACAATTTTTCGTTCTGAACTCATATTTGTCGTCAGAATTATCAAATTATGTCTCTAAAATTATTTTGCTCTTTTAAGCTCTATCGGTTAATTCACAAAACTGTAAATTCTCCGGCAGAACGCATTGTTCATAACATAGTCATGATTAGAGTCAAAATACTCGGAATCACTCACTGAATCTAATTATGGTATTTAAATCTTTAAATTAAACCTCTAATTAAGATTTACCATTTAGGGTCATTGTAACTACCTTAGCTAAATTAAAGTTAAGTGTTGGGTTAGGAATTAGTAGACTAGTACATGAGAAAATTAGTGAACCATTTGGGAGAATTAGTTTTGGACCATTTTCCTTACAAGGGCCACGGCCCAAACCTTTAAGAGGGAACTTGATTCAGCCCAAAATAAATCCCTTCACCCTCTAATCATGTGCATGTAAAGGAACCAACAACAAGCTGGTTGCTTGTAGCATTAGACAAACTCTAGTCAGCATGCGTCCAATGGAAAGGGTTCACGGCTTATGGGGCGCTAACAAAAAAAACTACGACAAGCTTATGGGGCGCTAGTTTTATCCAATGAAAGTGAAAAGGGGCAGCATGCATGAAAGCTCATTGGCTGGAAATCCTACACCTTTCTTAGCCTCACTTATTGCTTGTGCACTTGCTAAGGTCCATACAAGAGTTATCATTTTACCCTTTCCCTTCTCTTAAGCGCTGAAGTAGTGGAGTTAAGCTGATGCTGACTTTGTAACTAGAAACCAGAGTGGACCACACTCACTCCCTCTTGGCCGTGAGTATTCCGTGAGAGAGACTCAAAGAAAAGCTTAAAAAAAAAAAAAATCTTACATTATCCTCCTACCCTTTTCACAGAAGCCGTGAACCCTTAGGCCAAAAACATTCACCTCAACTTCCATTCTATTCCTTTGCTGTTCGGCTGAAAGTACACCTCAAGGAGGGGAGGCGCTAATCTTGGGGTCTTCCTTGTTGTCGTGGCTTTGTGTGATTTGATGGAGAGCTCACTGCATGCAGCTCAAAATCCAGAGCCTTATCATCGTTTTCTGCCTTTCTTGTATTCAGCCGAAGACTCCCTCTCAAGGACACAAAGAAATTTTTCCTCCTTGTTCAAGGCAACCTAAATCAGTCCCAATTAAGCTTTGTTTCGTTTCCCTGCATGTCCTTGAATCAGCGGTGGTTGAGCCCTTTCCCTTGCAGGCAACTGGATTCAGATTTTTGGAACTTGGGAGAACAAAGAGGGTTGTCCCTTGGTCCGATTTGGAATCCTGGATGTGTAGTCAACAAGAGGTAAATTTAAGCGCTAGCCTGCCTCTTTATTCCGGAATGGTGCGTCTGCTGTCTTTGGGCTGATGTAGTTTCTGATTTTACTATGTCATTATTTTCCACATTATTTGGTTTGCGTAACTGTCTTAGGAAATTAAGTTTGCCGTTTAATCTACTTCTTGTTCAGCCGAATTGTTAGGTGTAGTATAGTAACTGCTAAAAGTATTAATTAATTGTGGAGAACTTGAAAATAACGCACACAGGCTGTGGTATCTAGCTTTAATGGAATTAGAGTAATTCGACAGCTTGTCGTAGTTTTTTTGTTAGCGCCCCATAAGCTGTAAGGTTTTAATATGTGAAAAAAAAATCCTGAACCCCTTTTAAAAAAAAAAATAGGAACCGATTCTGTGAGGGATTGGAAACCCAGGGTGTGGTGGTCATTATTAACTAGTTGATAGTACAGATTTGAAGTCAGTAAAATATTAGAAAAATATATGTATAATAATAATAATGACCCTTGTAAATTGGAAATTGTTCGTTAAACTTAGTCAGTGGTCTAGCTTTGCATATGATAAATATACTATGAAGGAGGTATGCTGTGTGCATCATTGGTACTCTCTAAATCTTGTAAACATGGTTATTTAAATGATAAATGAGTGGGCAGGACCGAAATGGTTTATATAAAAGAACCTTGGGCTTTTGTAGCGGTTTACGGTTAATTGGAAGAATATAATGTAGTGTTTAAAGGCTTTGAAATTAACTTGGCAGCATGTTATATGTTCCCCGTAGCACACCATAGGGCTAGGGAGGTAGAAATTATATGAATGAAAAATCGTGAGACTTTTGTATGAAAGCCAAATTGAACTTGAGTAACCCTAAATTGTCTTCACTGTAACAAGTTAGAAAAGAACTTGAAGTCAGAAAACTTAGTAAGAAAAAGAATTATAGAAACCAGGTTAAGTGCTAGGCTTGTAGGCATGGCTAATGCTTGTAAATTCTAAAAATCGACGTTTGAAACTCTGGTTGGTTTTGCTTGATTAGGTGTGCATAACTCTTGAATGTGGAATGAGGTTGCTGCTACTTGAATTATAGTTGGGCACACAAGGTAAGTGTCTCGTGACATTATCTCTTGTGACTGCTAGCTGGTGCATGAGTTGTGAACGTTGCTCTCATGATCAGTTTCTTGCAAATATTACTTGGATTCTGCTCTTGAACTTGATATGCCGTCTATCTTGTGAATTATTTATTCCTCGGCATCCTGATATTGAATCCATAAATGATATGTAAACCTGATTATTATCTAGTCATGCATACACATTCATGATTTTTACTATATGACCGTGTGTGAATCATGACATTGCATACATGCATAAATTTCATGTTTACATCTGAAAATAATTGTGAAAAGTATGCATACGCTTGAGCACGCATCATGTAGGCATCCCTTCGGTATCAGGGCATGGGACACTTGGCTTCAGTCTGCATAGGCCGCAGTTGGAATCCTTCCTGTTGGAGCCAAATTGGATTATCCACTGTGCTTGTTAAGTACGTGCACTATAATGCTATGAACGTACTCCTGGCGTTATATACGCAATCTCTAGGCGTTATATACGCTATGATATTATTATTCTTGGACGGATTTAACTTGATGATGCGACCGTTTTGTAATTCTGTATCTAGTCAGTACTGTTGCTGTATTGGTTTTGTTATCACACTATTGGGATTTTTCTCACCCCTTTGGGGCTGCTATTTTTACAAAATGGCAGGAGGACGGAAGAGCATGTCAAGTCATGATTATATGGATATCTGCTGTTATGTGCTGCTGTTTGGACTTTTGTTGTTGCTGTTTATTTGATGGATAACTGTATTAATTTGAGAAGTTTGGACTACGGTTGGATTATGATTTTACTGCTATTTTAAGCATTTTATTATCAGAAAATATTTTGGAAACAAATTCTAGAAACGTTTTGTAAAAATGATTTCAGACATTTTACTAAGTGTTGATTTTAAACAGTTTCGCAAGCACTTTGCGAGTTATGTTTCGAGGGGCAACCGAACTCCGAATTACTATTATTTTATATGCACGCGAAGCCCCAGACGTGCTCTTACTAGATTATGTGGAATATTTTTTTAAATCGTCGGAACTGATGTTATACGAATTTTTAAAGACAGCAAGGTCAGTCAAGAAATTTCCATTTTCAGCAAGTTAAGAAATTTTGAAAGTGCACTCTGAATTTTGGTAAGGAACCCGACTTCAAATACAAGTTTTAATTATCAACCTAAAAAATGATTTTTCAGTACTTAAAATAAGACAGAAGAACTCTAATTTCGCTTAGCAAATGTAAGAACCCGCACCGTTAAATAAGTTATTTAATTAATTAATTATGCAAAAATAGGAAATGATTCTATAATTGACCCTAATAATTATTTAAGAGACTTAATAAATGTAGTAAGTGGTTTAGAATGCTGAAAGTCGCTTTTCGAAAGAAAAGTGCAGATACCGGTTCTGCTAGTCGGTATAAATGCGTACCGAAAAAGTATCCCAGAAAATTATAATAAGTACATGATAATTGCTAGAATAATATGTAGGACTTGTAAAACGAGTTTCAAGTCCATATAATGAGAACTGGTGCCAGAAACTGATACTGGCTATGATAAGCGCGTACCGAAAAGGTGCTCCAAAAAATATAATAAAAATATGAAAATTCTTGTAAAATTGAGTAGGTTAAGAATACAAAGTTTGGGATTAAAATTCTAAGCGTAGCAATTAAAGTTAATACTGTGCGCTTATGTGTTAAATCACTATAAATAGGCACACTTGGCCCTAAACCCTAGGCACTCAGCTTTGTCTACGTGACTTGGTGGCTGACTTGCACCTTATACACTGTTCCATTGTCTTCCCTTCATCATTTCTTGAGCTTGTGGTCATTTCCTTCACAAATTCTTCTCCTAACCACTTGGTGTGAGTGAGGATCATCCTTGGGAGTGTGTTGGTGGTCTTGTTTCTGAGTTTTGGAGTCAGTGTGAGGGAGGTTTGGTTGTTGACTTGTTGGTTTTGGGTTGAGAGAAGCCTTGTCTTGGTTTTTGGAGGTCCAAGTGGTGACCTTTGGTGTTAAAGAACCAACCTTTGTGTTGCTATTTTCGTGCACCTTGAGGGATAATACCTTAGCACCTGATTTGGGAGCTCCAAGAGCATCCTTTTGCTGAGTTTAAGCTTGGGTAAGCTTCATCACCTTTGAACTTGAGTTTTGATGCTTAAAAAGGGAACCTTGATGCATGTAAAGGTTAAAAGATGATAACTTAACGCTGGGTAATGTCAAACACACCTAGAAATGCATGTGTTAGTGCCTAAAATCGGTAAAAACCCAACCTTGGAAGGATATGTTCACAAAATGCAGTTTCTGCATTCTGTCGTGAAATATCCGGATATCTGCCCGCGGAATATCCGGATATTGGATATCCGGATATGTAAATCCGGATATGGGATATCCGAATATGGGGATCTGGATATGCACTGTGGGATATCCGGATATTGCATATCCGGATATGGTCCTGAGGAATATCCGGATATTCTGGGATTTCGAAGAACAGTAGCTGTGCTGTGAGGACAGTAGGCTATTGGGGGTTTGTGGACCCTAGATTGATGAAGTTGAACTTCTGTAATTAATGAACTAAGTCAGAATCATGTGATTAAGGGCTTGTGGCTTTGTTGGAAGCCTTAAGACGTAAATCGTTAAGGAGAACGTAGTATTTTTGTTAATGCTTTTGAGTTATGTATGTTGATACACTTGCTGGTCCTAAATCAGATTGTGATCTGTTGTGTGTTGGACTTGAGCTGTGAGGACTCTTGGCATTGGATAGTGAGCTTGCAAGGTAAGCTTTCGTGTCCTCAGTTTAGCCATGTTGTGGTTCCACCATGTCCCATGGGGGTATGGTATATGCATGCTGTGTTACATGCTTTTGATGTTTTGGAAATGCTGTTGAGCTGTTATATGTTAGTGCCTTGTTGATATGCATGGAGGTGTTCCACCTATACGGTAAGCCTGAGTATGTAGAACATACAATATGGTGAGGCTGTGGGTGAGGTGCAAGCGGTGTTCCTTGTACTACATGTAGGTATAGACGTATTCCTACATTTCTTTGGCCAGAAGAATAGTGATTACACACATGCCATAGATATTTGTTGCACTGCATAGTTTTGGAACCGATAATGATATAAATGCTTTTAGAACTTATATTGCACATGTAAGTGAGCTTGGGGTGGAAGATCCTTGAGGACCCCTTGTCTTACTGAGATTTCTTGTCTAGAGATCTCACCCCAAGTTTGGGGAATACTTATTTCAAGGTCAGGTAATGTTGAGATCTCAGGCGGCAGGAGGCCGGAGCTGAGTTAGATATTGATGATATTGCTGACTTGTTGGATACTGGATATGCATGTTGTTTTTATGTTTTGAGCTTCATTCTATGATTATGATTATCTTGTTGAGACGCTGTTGATTTGGTGAGCATGGGGATTGTCCATGCCACGTAGACTTGTTATGTCTTGCTTTTATTAGAGTTGTATTAATGTATCAGGATATTGTCCGGATTACGTGATGTAATGTCGTGACTTAGATACTCACTTTATATATTATATTGAGGTATTTCAGTAGATGTCTTATTGCAATTTACATTCAGGCGATATTTTATGAAATTGATTAAGTAATCAACTTGGCTAAGTTTAATGACGTCATAATTGAAAAGAAAAAGAATATTCCGCATTTTTTTATTAAGCGTAGCTTAATACGATGTAATGATAACACTACCGGATATATACGGGGTGTTACATTTTATGGTATCAGAGCAACGGTTCGAGGAAAAAGCCTGTATGTATTGCAATAATTAGGATATTTGGTTGTGTCTGTTTTGTGTGTTTGCTCCGTCGAGTATTATTATGATAATGTATATGTGATCACATTGCGTGGGCCTGATCAACTCATAATTTGTGTAACTTGTGCAGAGTCATGGTAAGTCCCGGGTGAAACCGCGAGACTTCGGAGGATCAGCCCGATCCTGTCCTGGCTACATTGGCTGAGATGCAGGCGGCCTGACAAGCCGACCAGGAGGCCATGAGAATGGCGAACCTGGCCATGCTGGACGCCGTCAGAGAGGCGAACAGGAAGGCCACTGAGGACGTGTTGGAGGCCAACCGTCTGGCGAACATGACGATGTTTAGAGTCATGTTGGAAGAGATGAGGAATGGTCCTGCTGTTGGCCATGTTCCTCCGCCACCACCACCACCTCCACCCAGTCTGTAGGATGACTCTCAGAGTCAGATGGGGGATGGCAGTCACCTTACGGGGGCCATGCAGACCGTCCCTGTTTTTGTTGAGGATCAAGATGAGATCGATCGTCGGCTGAATGCTTTTTGTAATCATAAGCCACCTACCTTTGATGGATCCTTTGATCCTATTGCTGCAGCGTGTTGGCTACAGGCGTTGGACAAGATATTTCGGGTCATGCAGTGCACATATCCGCAGAAGTTGATGTTCACTACTTACATGCTGGAGGGCGATGCCCACGAGTGGTGGACGGACATTTCTCATATCTATGAGATGCAGGGTCATGTGATGACGTGGCCATTGTTCGAGGATTTCTTCTTAGGTCGGTACTTTTCGTATGATGCTCAGGAGAGGCAGCAGGGAGAGTTTGACAGATTGGTTCAGGGCTCGTTGTCCGTGGACGAGTACCTGGCCAAGTTCAACCAGTTGGTGAAGTTTGCACACTTCAGGATGGCGAGGCCTACTCCTACATTCTTGGCCGCTAAGTTCCGTAGGGGACTTAGTGAGGATATTGCTGGTTATCTTGCTAGTTCTGCTTCTAGAGACTTTGGGACACTTGTTCAGCAGTGTCGCGATATAGAGGACTTCTACAGCACGAGTAAGGCCAAGAAGGCCAAGGTTGCAGAGGCGACGAAGGTTGTAGCTGGTAGTTCCACTTCTTGGCGAGACAAGAAGTTTGGGAACAAGGGCAAGGGTAGACAGATGGCAGCTCGGCAGGCGCCGAATCAGTTCAAGAGGACTTCTGCTCAAGGGAGTGCAGCGAGACCTCCTGCTCCCAAGTGTTCGGGATGCGAGAAGACTCATTATGGGCCGTGCTCTACCGGCCAGTTGATTTGCTTTCAGTGTGGCAAGGAGGGCCACTTCTCCAGAGACTGTCCGTCGGTGACGACGAGGGCTACTGCAATGCAGGCAGTGCCAGTTCAGATGGTTCCCCTTCCACCTACTTCGGCACCGGTAGTGCCACCATCTTCTGGGAGAGTTTATACTCTGGATCGACAGCAGTCGGACCGAGCTCCGAACCTGGTTAGAGGTACTATTACGATTGGTGCATCAGCTGTTGATGTCTTGTTTGACTCTGGGGCTACGCATTCTTTTGTTGCAACCCTGATTGCTGTGGGGCTTGAGTTGCCCATGTCTGTGCTTTCTCCACCGCTGCAGGTGACCATCGCCACTGGAGAAAGATGTGATGCTACCACAGTTCATCGCGATGTAGCCTTTCAGTGGGATGGTCGTGAGTTCTTGCTAGATCTGATAGGATTGTCGATGGCCAACTTGGAGGTTATTCTGGGTATGGATTGGCAGTCTAGATATTGTGTGATGATTGATTGTTGTGCCAAGCGTGTAGTGTTGTCTCCATGTGATTCCACAGCCAGTTCCTCGTCGTACATTTCGTTGCTGCAGGCTAGGAGAGCCTTGAGAGCAGGGGCATTTGGATATGTCATGTTGAGAGGTTTGGTGAGTGAGACACGGAGGATATCACTGGCATTCCTGTGGTGAGGGAGTTCCTCGAGGTGTTTCCTGAGGAGATTCCTAAGTTTCCGCCACAGAGGGAGATAGAGTTCTCCATAGATCTGTTGCCTGGTGTGGGGCCGATTTCTTTAGCTCCATACCGGATTTCGCCACCGGAGTTGGCAGAGCTGAAGAAGCATATTGAGGATCTTTCAGTGAAAGATTTCATTAGACCGAGTGTGTCTCCTTGGGGAG